ACACTCAGTAATCTCTCATACTCACACTCCACTGGGAACACTCCGAATGAATACCAAATGCCGTGGAATTATACCTCGTCAACAAGTATCTATATATATACGGATATATGAAAAGCAGTAAATAGCCTTACAAATTAGCTCAGTTTTGCGTCCGATCATTTTAGAGAGTCGTTGTTATAGGAGAACGAAAAACTGATCGTGGCAAGAATAACGGGTTTCGGTCAAACCGGAGAGCTTTCACAACGGTTTGGACGTGAATTAAATTATGTGGCACTGAGTGGTAAGTTGCTTTCAATGCTGTTATTCCATTAAGAATTTCATCCACTTTCAATATAGTGGAGTCACTTCTTAAAGTATCATTTACTTCAGTCATTCACCAGAAAATTCTTCGAAAGCAATAATTTCACTCAAAAAACGTCGCTCTCCAGTTGATCTTAATAGATCAGTGCGATGAAATTGTTATCACACATCACTCTGATACATCCGATATTATCATTTTGAAGGTTTGATGCCAACGTTCGCAGGACACTCGGTGAAACGCTTTCCCTACTGGACTCCAGCAAACATGTTAGCCGGATTTGCCGGTGGTAGTCTGATGGCCGCATTCGGCATTCTCGCAGCAATTCATCAAAGAATAATCAATGGTACTTTAAAGATTTCTCTTAAGAAGTACCCATTTTGAGTCCTGTAAGATAATTTCCGGATCGATTATCTCTTTAACATTCTCTGTTTTCTGTCTTGAACCACTGATTTTATTTAAATGTAATGTTTTATTCGCTGACTCAAAATTACCTTATAATAAACTTGTAACCTAATTATTTCAAACGATTATCGTTCGCAATAAAAAGCTTTTGTTTGAGGTGGAAAAGGCTCAATAATCGATGTGAGCATGGTCGATGGTTTAGCGTATTTAGGAAGTTTTCAAACGATCTACAAGGATATCGATAACGTTTGGAATAAGCCATTTTCGTGGTTTTCGGGTGATTGTCCTGTTTATAGGTTATTTTCTAAAATAATTGATTGAGAGAACAGTAAACTGAAATGATTAAGAGCAGACCATTATAAATGAACCATTTTTCATGAACGCTTGATTGCCTACCTGCATTATCATAAGCTAACTTTTGATTTGTTCGTTTTTCATCTTTGATTAATCATTGATCGTATTCCGATGATCTCCAGTGTAGTCAATAATCTAGCTAATCTATATCAAAGTTTTTTAATCTGCAATACCACCGTATTAGCAGAGTGTTAGCATGGCATTTAACATAAGGACATTTTCAGATGTTATGAAACTTCTGACGGGAAATTCATGGCCGTTGCAGCGTTGGAGAGGAGATTCCATACAAAAATGTTGCAAGGTTTGCTATTTGAACGATTTTTTCATTTTGTTCTCATATCCGTTGCAGTTGATCACTCGTCTGCAATTATTATGCATTCATCTGTTTGAATCACAGAAATCAGTGGACATTTCATTGTGAAACCATCCGGAATAGATCTGTGAATTGCAGAAGTATGCGAACAAACTGACGAATTTTCAGTTTTGGAAGTGAATATTCCAGTGAGTGATATTTGGACGAAACCGGCCGAAGTTACCGAAAAGCTTGAAGCTGTCTTCAAAACGAAGACCAGAAGAGAATGGATGGAAATTTTCAGAGGTGCGTCGCCATTACCCTTTGTGCCTGTTCCGTCCTATCAACCAGCTTCTCATATTCTTTCCTTCTGCCAAAATCTCTTCACATGAAATCTTTCATCTGAAGCCAAAAATTGCCATCCAGTCTTATGAATGAACGTCACTAATGCAGAAACAATTTTGATATATTCAACAATCATATTCATGGTACCACTATATGAGACGGTCCCGAACACATGAAGATTTCCTAAACATTTTTGGATTTCACGGTCCTTTGAACATTGTTTACTATTATTATTATATTCTTGCTATTATTCATACAATTAATATTTATTTATTTAACATTAGTGTCATTA